AATTGAAAATTTGTTTTTAATCCCAGGGATTTTGCAAAAAAAAAATTTAAATTTTTAAGTTTTAAAAATTTTTTTTTTTTTTTTTTTTTAACTTTTCAAACTCAGAAATGTGTCTTTTTTCTATTTTGGACCCTGAAGCACCGTTTAGGAACAAAACATCAGAGGTTCTAAATGTTTAACTTACAGGAACCATTGATGTTATTTGTGATAATGAAGTAATATTAGATATAAAGATCTATAATAGATACTGACGTTTATCAGGGCAGAAATCTTTTACTGGAAAGTTTTCTGAAGCCAAGATGGCTTCCTTCAGTCTGCTGAGCTGCTGCACTTCGTCCTGCAGCAGGATTTTCTCCAGGCTCAGCTGCTTCGTCTGGTTCTCAAAGTTTCTTCTTTCCTCCTTTAGTTCTTCTGTTCGGTTCTCCAGGCGTCTCACCTTCCCCACCTGTTCTCTGAGCTCTTCCTGCCGTTTCACCAGCTCTACACCGACTACAAAAGAAAGACAGTCAGTCTGGTACAGGTTGCATCTACTTTAACTAAAAAACCTTTATTTTTCATGCAATCAATGTTCTGTGAAAAGAACCTGTTGAAATTAGCAAAATAGGAGAAAAACATTTTTTTTAAAAACTCAAAATGTGAATTTTTGCATAATATGTCCTTTTCAAGAAGACAGGACAGGCAGATTGAAATGAATGGTTGGATGTTAAAGGCGGGATGGATTTACTTTAACTAGATCCGATCCACGGCTGAGGTCTCTGAATCAACAGAGTCAACAAATAATCTTAAATAATCTGAATTAAGTGAGCAAAATTTACACCAGATGATGATACCGATGCTGGCCACCAGGAGGAGGCAGAGAGTCAGCGACCACAGCAGAAAACAACCAGAGGATTTAGCAGCTTCTCCGTCTGCAGAGAGAGAGACGGTCAGTTACTGGAAATATTGTGGCTGTAAAAAGAAAAATAAATGAAACTATTAGCATTATTTATACATATTTCATGATGTATTTGATTTATCCATTTTTGCTCTTTTATCAAAAAAATTTAGAGCGGAAAAAAACCCCATGAACAATAGAAACATATTTGCAAAAATAGCAGCTATTAGTCTATAAACTTTCAATCAATGTCCTAAAAACAACTAAAATTAGACGTTTTTGTTGGAGGTTGATGCTTAATAATAACAGTAAATGTGGTAAAGTTGTACAAAATACTTAAAATAATAAAATGCGTATAAGTATTAATTATTCTTTCTCTAAAATATTTGATTGATTTACTGATCAGGATGATTGATTTACTGATCAGGATGATTGATTTACTGATCAGGATGTAAAGTTTGTCAGGATTTTATGACTTACATGAAACATTAGTGGCAGGTTCTGGAGGTCCAACAGCGTTTAGTTTCTCCTCTTAATGAATAAAAGAAGAATTACATCATGAAAAATATATAATCACATTTTTGAACAATTGAAACAGTAAATATATTTAAATGAAATAAATACCTCTGACTGTCCCGTATGGCATAAAAAAAAATTAATAAACATGGAAGCATATTGTAGCGTTAGCATATAAATATAGTTTTTAAAAAATCAGTGAAAATTAAACTGAAGCTTTATTTTCTGTTTATTTGAAAAACAGAATTCATTTTAAGTAATCTAAGACATTATTCTGGAATTCCTGGTCTTTGTTTACTGTTCTTTCCAAACGTGTTTTCATTGACAATAAAATTGTACAAATTGGAATCACGAAAATAATTTAACTTAATGGAAACACATCAATTTCAAACGCACATCTATGTTGTTCTATAAAAAGTTTTTGTGTTAGGATGATGTGGATTTTCAGCTTTATCTAAATTTGTGTTTTCACAAAACTACAATGGAGTCTCGAGTCGTGATTAACAGCAGGAAGTTACTACTGATGGAAATGATGAAGAAGACAACAGGAAATGGTTGGAGGATAATGGCGCTGCATGTTTTTTTTAATGATTTTTCACGTGAACAAACTTATTTATGAGTGGTTTTAATCACATTTCCTTTTTAATGAATATCAATAAATTTCATCTATCTGTCATGAAATAATGAAACAGTGAAACAGAAACAGTAAAATTAACCTACTGCTCTTGAACAGAATACTTAAATACAATAGTTGTATACATTATTTATATATTATTTCATTATCTTTTACAACAATCCCTGATTTAACAGAATTAATGAACTGAAGGTGTTTTTATCCTTTAACTAAATGCTAACATATTCCAGGTCATTTGGAAACTATAGCAAGTAAAGAAACCATCAAGTAAACAAATTTAAGTTCATTTCTTAAAAAATATAATAAAATATTCTTTATTTTTCAAATAACTTCTTACCTTTTTGGGGTTTCTGGTAATTTTCATAAATCAGATCAGAAGAATTGTCCACAATTTTCACTGGAAGTTGAGGGCAGAAAAACTTTCAGAAATGAAAGAAATTAAGGAACAAAATTCCTTGAAAGAAAGATTTTATACACAATTTAATACTTAAAAGCTATGTGTTAATGCAAATAAAAAATGAAAAAAGCTGAATATTCTAGGAGCTGAGATAGTTTAATCTTTTTCCTGAACATCTTGAATTTAGATTGATTTAAAAATAGTTCATATTTACAAATAAAACATCTACAAACTGAACTAAACAAAAAAATAAAGAATTATCGGAATAATAATGTAACATTCCTCGTCCTTAACTAAAGCAGGTCATGAATTTTAGTTTCACGTCTTTTTGAACCAGGAGTTTCTTACCTTTTCTGAGTTTCGTCACATTTGCATAAATATCAGCTGAAGACATTTCTACAGACATGATTAAAACAAACAGACTCTGGACGGGATGATTTGAAGCTGCAGCAAAAGTTTGTGTTTATTGTTTGTGAAGAGCAGCTCAGAGCTTCCTGTTCCTCTTGTTTCTGAAATGTCATCATGATAAACAGGAAGCAGAACAGAAGAAACTTTGTTATTGTTTGGAGTTCAAGGGAAAACGGACTTTATTATTATCAAAAGAAATTAACCATGAAAAATCACCATGGCAACACATAAAACACAAATCATCAATGTTTATTACAGAATATACAGATAGAGAGATTAGCTTTATTTCTTATTAACTAATGTCTTAAGCAGGAGCAGAAAACATTAAAGTATTGATCAAGTTTGTCTGAAACTCTATTTATAATCAATTACCTGGTTGATGGAAAATAAAAGTAATAAATAATGAGTTAGAGACAGAAGTCACACTAAATAAAGAGTGAAAAGAAAAACTAAAGGCAGAACTTCCAAAATGAAATTAATGTCAAACATCATATATTTTAATGTGTACAGAAAAGAAGATGTGATTTATCTCTGATTATTTTAGATTATTATTAACATCAGAATATATGATTCTAGAGATACTTTTTTAAAATATTAAAACATGAATCAAGATGAAAACTAACTCAGACATGAGGTAAAGTACTTCTGTAATTAAAATAAAGTTATATTTCTGCATGCAGGCATCATGTGAAGCTTCTGCTGAGTTTCAGTCTAACAGCTGAAGCCGTTTCCAAACAGAGACGTTGGAGTGAATAACGTCGCTGAGGATGTCCACCATGTTATCACCGTGGCGTACGGACCAGAAAACCAAACCACTCCGGTCATCCAGAACCTTACAGACAGAAACCAAAGGCCGTTATCACAAAGACGCTCATTTATTTTTAACTGGTTCTGTGATCATTCATATTTAAATCTGAACTCAGACATTGAATAAACAGAGACAGAAACTTTTTGTTTTCATTAAATCAGATTAAACATTTCCTGTTTCAGATCAACATTATTCCACCATTTCTTTCATTAGACCGACATCAGAACCTTAAAGCTGCAGGATGTAAGGTTTATTTTAAAAAAACTGTTTTTTTACAGATTTGTTAAAACTGTCCCAGTGTAATATGAGACAGATAATCAATGAAAAGATTGATCTCCTCAGCCTTCCCTCTGTGCTGCTCTTTCTGTTGGATGAAATGCATTGCTCCTGATCAAAAACAACCAATCAGAGCAAGAAGGAAGGTCTTAGCGCTGTCAATCAATCTTATGCACCTGCTGCTAAATGTGCTAATGGTAAATAAACAACTTACCTTCACAGGAAAACTGTTTATCTACCATCATTGGAGGCCATGCTGACTAGCTTTAGCATTCACAACAGGCTATGCTAGCTGCAGTGTCTTTTTTTTCTTTCTGTCAGCAGTGGCCATGTACAAAATCCAGACAATAATCTGGCTAAAGAACAAAACCTCTAATTATGAAACAGTCTCTATATTTGTTTATGTTTTAGAAACATTTCTCACCCAAGACTCTCATTTCGCCCATCGATCCAGAGCCAGTTGTTGTCCGTTTGGCCCAACGAGCAGAAATTCATCTCATGATTACTGGCAGGACTCTGGAAAATAAAAACATCCCATAAGTTTTCATTTTCAATGCCAGCCTGAAAAGCTGAGTCCTGGAAGCTCACCTGTTCTTTGACGTCATCAACGACCACCAGGTCTGCGGACGTGTTTTGACAGTACAGTCGGGCTCCTTTCCCAGGATTCTGGCCTGAATTTTGGTCATAAAACTGGTCAAACTTTTCCAGTAAACTCTCCCAACTCTTCTGGCACGGCAGACACTCTGCAGCCACAAGACAAAACATTCACTGTTAAAACAATATGTTGTTTTTTGACACATTTTCTTTTCCATCAACACATCTTGTGTCATTTTCTACAAACAACATTTAATTTCCTGTTGGGATCAATGAAGTATTTCTAAATTTTAATTTTAAGAAGAACGTGGTAAACGATTGACCAATCCTGTCACTTCTCTGGAGTTCTGTAACTTCCCACAGGCTGGGTTGCCAGATTAGACAGTTTTCCGCCCAGTTGCTGTTGAGCAGGTGTGACTGGAAACAAGTAGCTTTTTGGGCAGGTTGTTAAAATTTGGGCTGCTTTTTTCACAAGAAACTCCAGCAGCTGCCATTTCAGGACGTCGAGCGAGAAGGAAAAAAAAGGTCAAATAATGTTTTATTTGATAAACTGATAATAAAACATAAACAGAAATCCTTAATCAGGATATTGATATCTGGTGTTTAGTTACTAAGACTCATACAAACTGCCTGTGACTGTTAGCTTAGCATACACCAAGATTTTTTTGGCTAGAAATTTAGTGAAATACTTGATTGTCACCTACAAACGCTTTAATTAGTCGTGATTTTATTAAATAAAACCACCTGAAACTATTTTATGGTAAAACATCTTTAGAACAATTATTTTCAAAAACTAAATTTTAGCATTCGCCACAACTGCATCTTGTTTGGTCAGCAGCTATAACGCTGTTAATGTCTTATTTAGAAAAATATTACTGATTATAAATCTAGACACATTCATCCAGATAGTCAAATAAATCAATAATCAGCTAATAAATTCTGATCAGGAAATGTTAGAAGCTGTTAGGTTATGAGACATCTAAGTTCTTAAAAGTTCATGAATGTTTTGTTTTGTCTCTCTTACAGAACATGAACAATTATTTTATGCTTCAATATTTAATACTGATGCAAAACTTTTTACCTGAATTTTACATGAGCATCTCAGTAAATTACAATATTTTAATGTATTAAACTAATTCAAGTCAAAAAGTGAAACTTGCATTTAAATGATTCCTCTGCTTATTTTCATTATTTCCAATCCCACATACAGATCCTAAATGATTGGATTTGTCATTTATTTTAGCTACATTTCCATTCTGGTGGAAAACTCACTTTTGTCTGGGCAGAACTGGTTCACTGGGAAGTTGTCGTGCATCAGGATGACCTGCAGCGCCCTCTTCAGGTCGTCCCGCTCCCCGATCAGCTGCTCCATCACGTTTTCCAGAAGACTCTTTTTAATATTCAGACGCTTGTTGTCTCTCTTCAGGTTGTCCAGCTTTTCCTTATGGCTCATCATGTCGATGCTGACTTTAACGAAAGGAAACAACATGAGACACCAGGGTCGGTCTCAAGATGTCAGGGGCCCCGGGCAGAATTTGACTCAGGGCCCCCTCTTCCTGTTGAGGACGTCACCACCTCCAGCGGCGGGTAGAGCAGCCAAAAAAAAAAAGAGCAGCACTGCTGCAACATTACTTCACTCAAATAAAAGTAAAAAGTAGTCATCCAAGAAATTACTCAAAAAAAAATTATGAGAATAAAATCATAATATTACAACTTTATTCTGGTAATATTATAGTTTTATGGTAATACTTTATTCTGTTTTTTTTTTCTTTCCAATGTAATTATCCTACATTTAAAAACAAGTCAGTTTGATAAAAAATGATTCGTAATAATATTCGTTCTAACTATTGTTAATAAAAATGAGAACAGGGAAGCACAGTTAAAAATCACAGATATTTAATGGATTCTCACAAAATGTTTAATTGGTTTGAAAGTGTTTAATTAAAATTCATAATGAAGAGAAACCGACTCACTCCAGGCGATGACGGCGATGCTCGCCAGCAGCAGGACGGAAAGAATCCCCAACGACAGCAGCTGGAAGGAGCAGCTCGGTTTTTCTTTCTTCCCTGATTAAAAGGAGAAAATTATTATTAATGTTTTTGGTTCCACTTACACTTTAAACTCTTTGTCCTACTAAAATCTCACATGTTATGTCTTCACTGAGCTCAGACAGTTCACTGAGTTGGAGTTTTATTTTTACTTTTCTTCAGGTCCTGATCACAGGACACCAGATTTTTATGGAGATACATTTGGTACAAAAATATTTGTTTTCTTTTGCAACAAATTATTTTATTAAACTCCACAGGATGAGCAGGATTTACCCAAGACGATCATGTTTGGCCACAAACTCTAGAGAAAGTCCAGAGTATGGATGATGAAGAGTTTTTGTGTTAAATAATTTATTCATCTTTCTTTAGTGAAGTTCAGATGAAGTGCTGTCCTGGAGTCTTACCTTCTTCCAGCTCCTGTGCGTTTTCATAAATGGCTTCAGTGCTCTTGTTTGCATCCATGGCTGGAAAAACGCAGAGAAAATGAGAAACTACTAATTTAAAGAAGATTAAAAGATCCTGCAGAAACTCGATGCAGATCGTCTCCTCTCTTCTGCAGCCTGAACTCACAGCTGGTCTGTTTGCTGCCTGACTAGTTTAAATTTGAATTTGTTTATTAAAATACATCTGATGATTTGCATTAACCCCAAATAAATCAGTTAAATGGAAAAACATTAATCCTGATATTCTTCAGCTTTATCTGCCTTATCTGTGCTCAGTAGGTGAATAAGGCAGAACAGGAAGGTAATCTTTGTAGTCCAGAGCAACACTTTACAGCTTCATGCTCTCTAATTTATCAGTTTTTCTCCACTCAGAGAGAACAAACACACTGATACACACGAGTTATCCATGCAGATTCTGCCTGCAGGCTGTAAAAAAACAAGATTTGTTTTGTTTTAAGTTGGATTTGTTTGTTAAATAGAGTATTTTGCATGAGTCCAAATATAAATAGGTTTGATATTAGATGTTTGTGAGCCAGTCAAATTAGTAGTGATGTTGCTGTAAGACCTGTCCAGGGTGACCCGGCCTCTCACCCAGAACCTTAGAGGCACCAGCAGCCCTCCGGACCCCACAGAGGGACAATGGTGTAGAAAATGGATGGATGTTACTGTAAGACTTTCCTTTCTCCATGCCATTAAAAACTTAAAGTGTTTTTAGCTTCATCAGTGGATCATCATTAGTTTTATAAGGATTTTCGTCCTGTGGTTCTGCTTTAATGCTCCTAAATAACAGTAAGGACACACATTGGCTGCGTTTCCAGTACAAATGTGTGCAAACGTTTGTCAATAATGTCAGAAAAACACAATTACATTGTTTCCATTCAATAAGAAACAGTTAAAATCACATGTGAATAAGTTTGTTCACATGATAAATTATTAAAAAACATTCAGTGTCATCATCCTCCAACCACTTCCTGTCGTTTTCTTTGTGGTTTGCTTCAGCAGCATCAGGTGAAAAAATGTGTTTCCATAAATTAATTTCAATATGGCCAAAAAATAATCTCATCCCAGCACCAAATTTTTAGTCAAACAACTTTTTTTTATTTGGTGTGTTTCCTTTAAGTTAATTTATTTTAGAAATTGTGCAAATGTGGCCAATGGAAACGCAGCTAATGCTCCTTTTACAAATGTACTTATCATAAAATAAATTTTGATGTTCGGCTTTTAATAATAATACAGATTCTTACATGTTTATCCAGTTTATTTGCATAATGACGGACGCTTGTATTCGTTCAAGCTGATGAGGACATGAGCAGAGAAGCAGGAGCTGCTGCTTTAATAACCTGACATATGTAAACACCTGGTTGGTGCTTCATAGGAAAAAAGTTTCCTCTTCCATTTAAATCCAAACAGACGACTTTCTGTTTGGAAACCAGGAACAAGAAAAACAGAAACTGAATCAGAAGTTGTTCACAGAGGATTTACATGGACTGGAAAACAAATTAAATACTAAAGTATCTGAGTTTATCAAAGGGATCATTTCCATCTATAAACATTATAATTCAGCTTAATACACAAACAACAGGTTCTTGTTTTTCTCCAGTATTTCAGTGAGAAATAAAAGTTTCACTGCAGCTTTGCTGTGAAAAGCCCTCATTGTGCCTTAAATCTTCATTTATTCATTAAATACTGCATACAAACACAGTAGGAACAAAATATTTACTGACACTGGTAGTGTGAAAAAGCCATAATTTAACCCACTACAATCACAGAATATAAATAGAAGAAGTTTGACTAAGAAAAAACAGAATCTGACTAAATAGACCAAATATATGAAAACTGAAACAAACATCTGAATGATGATATGTTGTGGAGAAGCTGTTCCAGCATGAAGGGATGGAAAACAGGAACGTTCTGGATTAAAAGGCAGTTTAAGTTGTGGATTAAAAGGCAGTTTAAGTTGTGGATTAAAAGGCAGTTTAAGTTGTGGATTAAAAGGCAGTTTAAGTTGTGGATTAAAAGGCTGTTTGGATGAAAACTCCAGCTTACAGGAGTTTCTTTTTTCCAGCTCTGTGATGCAAAAACACGATTCTGTCTCTGCATATAAACCAATTAAATTAAATATTGAGTTTATCTGTCCTCCAAATGAGAAACACAAACATCATTAAGAAATAAGATGAAACTTCATGACATGTTTCATAAACCAAGTAACCAAACAAACAAGGCAACAAGCATTACTTTTATTAACGCTAAAATCAATATCTTCTTTCCAGTTTTACTGATTTAATAACTTGATCTATTATTCCTAGACCTGCAAAAATGTGGTTTTATATTATTCTCATCTTATTTATTTTAATTACAATATTTAAAAAATAAAACTGCATTCCTCGCCCTAACACTGAAAATGCAGTTTGTTGGGCATAAAGCTCCATCAGACTCCATCCAGGCTGAGCTTCTCCAAAAAGTAAACATTTCTTTCAGCCAGGAGCATTTTGGTAAAAACTTTAAACCTAAATATGTCTGGACTTTTAGGTGGTTTTCCCACCTGATAGTCGGGTTCACTCGGTTTGACTGAAGAACTTTATTGCAACATTTGACAAATTTTCAGCTGCTGCTGTTTCCCTCCTTGTCGCCACAGAACCACTGAAGGAAACAACATGAAAACC